GCGGACACGCTTGGCAGTTTCCAACAGAAAAAGGGGGGTAATCTTGTACTCTTTTAGACAGCTCCCCCCTTCCTTCGATCGTCTTTTTTCTGTGGATTTCTACTTTTTCCCTTGAAAGTTTTTATGCTGTTAGTTTTACTTTAAGGGAGATTTTTGCCGCGCACGTTTTCCGGACATGTCTTTCCCTCAGCTGGGGTTCCCCCAGTTTCTCGGTAACTCCCATGAGGTGTACGGGAGCGAGCGGCCGGCCTCTGCCCGGGAGCGAGGCACCGAGGGCGGCGTGAGCTCCGCTTCAGCTGCCGCGGCTGTCGGATCTATGTTGGGGATGTACGGAAGCCCGTGGGCTCAGAACTACAGCGCTTTCCTGCCGTACAGCGGAGCCGCAGACCTCGCCCTCATATCCCAGATGGTAAGAAGAGCCGCTTGTTTCACAGATAGCTCACCGGAAGTGACGATTTAGTTAAAACTCGTTAAAAACTGACCAATAATTTGTGTAACGTTTTTTTTCCCATGACAGCTGAATTTATTGATTTTTATGAAGTTTTATTGGAATCATTTTCAAACCAATTAGTGAAATAAACATTTTAAAGGGAAATAAGTGAACTTTCTGTGTTTTTTGTGAGTTCAGATTTAGGATTTTCTGTCATATCTTAAATAAATAAAATTGTATGACGAAACGTGTTTTAATAAATTTGACACGGTGCGTTTAAAATAAAAAATCATGAAAAAATATATGTAGAACAATAAATGTATATTTCACTAAAAATAGAAGTAAGCACATTTAAGTGTGAGAAAAACAATTAAAAATTAAGCTTTTCTGTATTTTTTAAACAAACAAGGTTGAATAAAAAAACACCTTAAACTAAAAATATTTTGTTCCAATTAAGAAACTCTATCTTTCTTAAACATCTAATTATTAATTTAAATGTTGGTATTGAAGCATGATTTTAACTTGAAGTGGAGCAAAGTAGCAAGAGAAGTCGCTCAACAAGTTGCCACCTCTCCCGGTGACCTTCCAGGGCCCCCAGTACGAGCTGAAGGAGAGTCCGGGCTCCCACCCAGCCTCGTTGCCGGTGCATGCCGCTCAGAGTTTCTACCCATACGGCCAGTATCCCTACGGAGACCCGTCCCGAGCCAAGACGGCCACCAGGGAGACCACCAGCACCCTGAAGGCCTGGCTGCAGGAGCACCAGAAGAACCCCTACCCCACCAAAGGCGAAAAGATCATGCTCGCCATCATCACAAGGATGACCCTCACACAGGTAGAAACTGATGTGTGTAAAACTGGAATTTATGTTTTTTAAGAGTAAAAATATTTGTTTGTATTGACTTTATTCTAATATAAATTAATATGTCGCATAAAAGCTGTATTTATGTGAAAGGCTCTTCCTCATTAATACAATTATTAATCTCCAAAAATACAAATTTAAGAGAATAAAGTGTGCGACGGTCGTCATTTATTAATTATGAGTATAATGTGTGTGCTTTTTATATTTTTTTTAGGTATCGACTTGGTTCGCAAACGCGCGCAGACGCCTAAAAAAGGAGAACAAGGTGACGTGGGGCCGCAGCGCAGAGGACCGAGACGGGCGCATCTTCAGCAGCGACAACGAGGACGATCACGGCAAGAACGGGAGCGACGACGAGGACGAAGAGGAGGAGATAGATTTGGAAACTGTCGACATCGACAGGCCCGAGGAGCAGCGAGCAGTGGAGCAGGACTCCGGGAGAGGGGAGGGGGAGACGGGCCTGTCCGTCCTGGTGCAGGCCTCGGAGTCCCGGAGCTCGGAGAGCAGTCGGACGCTTTCTGTGGAGGCGGGGGGAGTCAAGCTGGCGGTGGAGCGTTCTCCGGGCATGCAGGAATGTCAGAGAGCGCCGCAAAGCAAACCGAAAATCTGGTCTCTGGCTGAGACCGCCACGGCCCCAGACAGCTCGCACAAATCTCCCCACGCGGCCTACGCGCAACACGCGGCTTTGGCCTCCGCCAGCCACCCGGCCTTACTCCCGGGTCACGGAATATACACGTGTCAGATCGGTAAACTGCACAGCTGGGCCAACGCGGCTCTGTTGAACGCCAACTCCATCCTGAACATGAGATCTCTCTTTGGCGGAGCGCCGGCCGGACACCTGCCTCTCCAAGGTGCGGTGCCGGCTGCGCGTCAGGCTGCAGCCGCTGGCGCGTCGGGGACAGAGGACGACAGTGACGTAGAGTCCACGGGAAGCTTGAGTCCAAAAAGAGAAGGTTTGAACCAAATTTTATGCATTTTAATTTAATGCAAAAGGTTCTTTGTGCAGAAACAATTAGCTGGAAAACCAAATTCTTGGAATTCCTAGAATTCACCTGCCCTGATTCTTTTTCTCTACTTGCAGATGAGGATCGGGACCGCAGGCCTGAGTCCATGAGGTCTCCCTTCCAGCTGATAACTGAAAGGTAACCTCCAGATCAGCTGTGACACTATCCGCTTCGATTTGTGTCCATGTCATTTACCATGTGTCTTGTGTTAAATGAAGCCCAAAGCAGAGGTAAACAGTGTTACACGTGACTGGGCAGGAGGCATAAATCACGTGATTTAGTTCCACTACGTTAACGCCTCATCAGGCTGCAGTCCAACACACACGCACACGCACACGCACACGCACACACACACACACACACACACAAAAGGCTCGAAATAATTTAAATTTTCAATTATTTTGAAATAATTTCAACCATAAACCATTAAAATAAATATTTTTTAAAAGACAAATAAGACTAAATTTGAGGAAATTCACCTTTGACCCTTTTGCTTGGTTCTTCCCCCAGACCTCACCATGGAACAGCACCGCAGCGAGTTCTCACAACACCATTATGAGAAGATGAAGAAAAAAAAACTTTTATCACAAAAAGAAGAAAATATAATTTTATTTAATGCAACAGTTAAATGAAGGTTATTTTTTCTGAATGGGCGACCAGTCATAGTATTAGCTTCTACATGCAAACAGGTGGTTGTTTTCATCCCAGATCTGCTTGTATCTCTCTCTTTTACGTGTTTTCTGTTGTTTTCTTCTGTTTTTCTTCAGATATTCTGTTGTGAATGGAAACTTTTAAAATTGTAAATACAGGATATGAATTTGTCTTCAAAGAATATATTTTTGTGAACAAAATAAATGTCGATATAATCATTTATTACTGAAAACTCCTTCACCTTTGTGTTTCTTTAAAACGTGCTCAATTTTTCTTTTTCATGGCTGATTTTTGGTCTTGTTGCCATTATTATAGAGAATTCTGCTTTAACGTGATAATTTAACTTATTATTGATTATGTTTGATAATTAATATTATTATTTACCTATTCATGTTAATGTCTGGATTACTTTAGTCACTTCTGACCAGTGGAATTGTCTTGCCAGCCCAAAAGTCTGAAATTGGCGCTGTCGCCAAAAACTGCAGGCTAACTGCGAACGCTGCGGAAATCAAAATGGAAGATTTCCAGGACCTTGTGAACCTGCGCCTGTGCTTTCAGCCCAGGCCTCCATGCTTTAATGTTGGATTATACCTCCTCAGTGCCACCACTGCTGCATCTGAAATATGGATCAGACAGCCAGGAAAGGCCAGCAGCCAGTATGGGGGCAGCAGCTCAGGGGGGAGGTAGATGGGAGGGGAGGGGAGGCGGGGTGGGCTGTGTGTCACTTTTGATGGTCAAAGGCCTGAAGACAGAAGGTGCAGAGTGAAAAAGGCTGGATGGTGGGGGGTCTTAGGGCTGCTAATGGTTAGTGTTCCTCTAAGCTTTGCCCCCCACCTGGGCCTGGTTTACAAACATCAACAGTTAGAATAAACCTCGACTGACAGCTCAGTGCTTATAGAAAAGGGGTTCACCACCTGGCTGCAGAAACACAAAAACAGTAAAAATTCTACCAAATCTTTGGGGAAGGATGTTCAAAGTGCGGCCCGGGGTCATTTGCGGCCCTCAGAGTACATTTTTTTTGCGTCCCTTTGCATTTATAGAATGATTGAATTTTGTCTCTTTAAACACTTTCTAACATTTTACTGTTCAGAGTTTTACTAATTTTTAAATTTAAAGCTCAGACCACACCATATGTCATCGTCAAAAACGGTAAACGAGAGGGTGATTGGCAGGTCTGTGAACGACCCGGCGACGGCTCATTGAGCGCAGACGGTCACGACCAAATTCAGCCTCCAACAATCTTCCAGCAGTGTCAGAAAACGTACAAATCCAGTCTACGCCCAAAGAAACTCAGCGGGTGACGCAAATAAGTAGTGACAAGTGTACAATGCGACAGTAGCATTAGCAATAATGGGGGCATGTGGACCACTCCTTTTTGAAGTTCAGTTTGGAGTTTAATAAAAGAAGGTGGCTCTTGTTTCTCTTTTCGTCGTTGGCTATGTGTCGGCATTTTGTGACGTACGCTTTTCGGCGAGTATCCTTGTGACTTTAGCATGCCTGTCTAGACGTTGTGTAGGTCGGCTCACCGTAATAGTGGCCTGTACAGTGTACCTTCGAGTCCTTGTGGTGTGACAGGAAGCAGTTTTTGTGACGGCTGAAAAACGTACATTGGGTTTTAAACAAATTCTTAGAAATACATATTTTTAGAAAGACCAAGAAATAATTGATGCACATTTGTGAGGCCTGTGGAGACCGTTAACTCGATGATTTAGGCCCTTGAAAAATTCTTCCTGTGCCTGTAAAGTTGCTGAATGTGATCTTTCTTTTCTCTTCAGCAGCTAACTCCTAAACCAAAAACTTGATTTTTGAGGATTTTTGTGACATTTTTTAATTTAAACAATTGAAGTACCAGCGAAGAGAGACAAAGGACCCAAAGCACCAGGTTTAGAAACCTGTAGATGGGACTTTCCTGACTATCGGGAAAGGCAGGAACAAAAGCTATCACGGAAGAGAAAATATTTAAGTTTTCATCAATAGTGATCCACAGAAGAATAATTCTGACCTCATCCTGACAATATCGATGACACAATGCATTCTAACTCCAACCCTAACCTCAACAGCTTGGTGAGTACTTGAAAATGTTATTTGGACTAAAGTTTTCTATCAAAAAGACTAAAACACACACACGTGTGTGTGTGTGTGTGTGTGTGTGTGTGCGTGCGTGTGTGTGTTCCTAGAAAGCATGAGTGAGCCTTTGCTGTATTCTATACAACTGATAAGCTTAGTCACCTGTCACTCATTGGGAAGTATAGATCCAACTACAGCTGTTGTATATCAACGCACGAGTCTAAATGTCTTTTATGATGATGCCGACAACCCTCCCAGAACGTGCCAATAAACCAAATGTGTTTCCAGATCAAAGAGACTTTATACAAAGTGTTAATTAGGGATCTTCAGAGGCTCTGGTTGGCAGTTTTTTTGTTTTGTTATTTTTTTAACTCTAATGTCAACTAACAGGCAGATGATTGAGGTTTAATAATGGCTTGGGTGTGGGAAAACTACGTGAGCCCATTTTATCCTGTACCTTGATCCATCAATCTGCCTGCCGATCTGTTTACCGTCAGAAAACGGGTAAACACTCCAAAGGGAGCAGGAAGGGAGGATTCGGTGAGCGTCGTTGGTGTTAAAGCAGTGTGGACGAACGCCAGACACTGGAGGCCATTTTTCTTTCCTCTGCCAGTGCTGACAGACTGCCATCCGCAGCGCTGAGGAGTATTTTTGTCTCTTTTTCATTTGCACACATTTCTCTCCCTCTTCGTTCCAACCCAGCCAGATCCCACCCCGGCCAACTAACCAAACAATATGGTATTCTTTGAAAGTTGGAAATCAGCGAGCTTAGCATGATGGAGCAGAAAACGACATCAAATGGCTGTTTAAAAAGTTAAACAGTCGTTCCAAATATGTTTTGTTGTGAAATAAGAAGAGAGAGGGAAGAGGTGCGAGGCTCCAAACGGATTAGGGCTGCCTGGCAGTCGGCACTGCAAACTTCTGCGGAGTTTTAAGTTCTGACTTTCCGGTTACACAGAGAGGAAAAAAGCAAAACAAAAACTAAACGTTAAGATCGTGGACTCTTGACGATGTGCAACTCCCTTTGTTATCCATGCTTTTCAAGAAAGATTTAAAGAAAATATAAGACACGACTTTAGAAGAAAGCACTCCCAATCTGTTGGAAATCTTGGTTATGTGGGGTTTTTAAGGCCATGTCAGCCCCTTAAACTCAGTGTGAACAGAGTCCTCAGTGGTGCTTTGGTATTGTGACATATAGGCCCTTTGATGAGCCTTAATCCCTGTTAAAGAGGGAAGATTATGTAAAGGATTTGGCTTTGATTTGCCCGTCCCACTGCTCTTTTCTGCCAGCGTCTCTCATATACGCTTCTCTCATTTTCTTTGCTCCTCTGTTGTCTTGATGGGATGGTGGAGAATTGAACAATGATGGCCTCCATGCGCCATCCCCCTCACATTCCCACCCTTAAGCCATCTTCATGTGGGCCCACATGTATGAGAGCTCACTGTCGCCTGAATAGATTTGTTAAAGGGCCCCCCAGTGGATGAGAGAAGTCCGAGCCCGGCAGCCTGGCCCTTGTGGGTGTCTTTTCCCCCTTTAGAGCTACTCTGCAAGGGGCAAACTCCCTGCCAGTTGTCCCCATCACCTCCTCTGCAGCGGTTAGCCCTCCTGCTCCTCTCAGCTCCTCTGCCACGCAGAGATAATCAGGCTTATGTAAAGACGACGTGCTCTTTTGTCAGTCATCAGCTCATCAGTGATCCAATCAAGCCCAAATCTGCCATTGTCCACCCCTCAAAGTGTCTCAAATCCGCTTGTGCTATAGAGAGGGGCTGCGCTCTTTATCCTGCCAATCACTCCTGACATTCCTGCCAATGTTGCCATGGCCCTGAGGTCAGAGGTCATAAAAACAGAGAGCGTGAGCTGACTCAAGTAGAATGGGAAATGGCTAACGGAGGGGCTCTCTCTTCAACGGCACTATTGCTCGGCTAATGCAGGGGGTAAATGTAGACAAGTTAGTACTCCATGTCCCCGCTGAGTGAGCCAGCCGGACAGAAAGGGCCATGGGTGAAGAGGTGATGGATGGGGGGATGAAGAGACTAAGAAAGGGGAAGAGAAAGAAAGCAAAATAGGTAAAAAGTGTGGAATAAATGTTTAAAAGAGACAACGTGACTCACCTTCAGGGCTTTCATGGTAAAGACCTTGGCTTCTCGAGCATTTAGGTGATTTTTTTATTTTCATAGAGTTCTGTTTAGAAACAAAGTGCAAGATAATCAGCAAAAAGAAAGCTGTAATTTGAAATGGAAATGTACTACCCAGCGCAATAAAGCTAATGCATGTAAGCACAGGATAAGAAGGGCGTCGGGTTAAATCCGTTGTAATGTTGTCAAAAGAATAATTTTCTGTACCCAGTGTAGACGTAAGTGAGCAAATGTTTAGCCTAGGCCAGATATCATAGGGAATTTACGCCATTCACTGTTCTTCCTTACGGATTAGTGGAATTAAGCATTTGCACAAAAGCAAAGTATCAAAACTCATGTGTAATTCAACGAGCCTCACAATGCAGAGTTTACCGAGCACCGCTGCTGAGGCTGCGTTTATTGTCGCATCGCAGCTGCGAGCACCAAACAGACAAACGGCAAGCAGGGCCACTGGCTTTTAAAGACAAATTTAATATACAGGGGAAATACACAAAACAAATGCTATAAAAAGGGGGAGTGATAAGTCTTTTCTTTTGTTTGCCTATTCATGGCAATAATCTGAGGGAAGACACAGATTAAGACGGAGGATTTGTGTTTGGGTGTTCGCATCGGTGGCTCCTTTCAGCCTCTCTGAAACAATGTTTATCCACTGGTTTCTTATAGCGTAGCAACTTAGCTTGGTGTGCCGCTGTGAGGGTCCAGAGGGGGCTGAGGACACATTGCATTTTTGTTCAGAGTCCATTTGGGCACTCTCACATGGGTGTGTGCTGCCAGGAGACGCTGTACTAATTTAAGGCATATGTGACATTTGCTATTTCTGGAAATCGTGCACGGATTTATGAAATATGTGGGATAGGAACAGTCAGCATCACTTACAACACTCAGTTACCTTTGGGTTTACAAACCAAGCCCAAATCATCAGCCCTCCACCACCATACTCAACAGTTGCTATGAGGTTTTCACTAAACTAGCTCAATGTACTGTAGTCAATTGAAAGGTCTTGTTTCTTGATTTTGTGGTGGTGGTGGT